ACCTGCGATCATAAGTAATAATTCATTTATTTGCGCACTTATTTATGAACACCTTTAAAAAATTTAAAAAATAAACACTAACCTTATCGACCTCCACCATGCAGGATAAAGTTAGCTTTTCCATTGCCCAACAAAAATGATTCATCTCGTTGATTCTTCAAGTGAACTGCGTGAAAAGCCGTTGGCATTATTGTATATAGCGAATTTTTTTATTTTTTTTTTATTTAGTAGACGTGACACCCACACATCGATATGCTGTTTTACAAAAAAATACTTTTTTTTAAACAAATTAATCAAAATCATATATAAGACAAATATAAGACTTACCTCCCCATCCAAATAGCCACTGTCTTCAACCCCTAATAGCACACCCTACCAAGACCGATCAAGCAACAAAAACATTTCATCGTTGAGTTTGCTGATGTCAGTGTAACACCCTTGGCTCCGCTCATGTAGATAAAAATCAACTGCGGTCTTAGCCCAAAGGGTATATCCACAATTGTTTCCGGTAGTTGTCTCCTCTCCACTTCAGATACCGGAAGGGTACTAGCCGGTAACTCATACGAGAGCCAACTCTCATCCATCATGTCCGGAATCGATGGGGGTTTCTCAATACTTCGATATATTATCCCATGTGAATCGAGCTCTGGAATGGTAGGAGGGGCCTCTTCAACGATGACAGTGGCCTCTTGAACAGTGGGGGGGAATCTTGAGGGAGAATAGGGGCCTCTTGAACGATTGGAGGGGACTCTTGAGGGATGACCGGTGAGTCGGGCTTCTTCTTGCGGAGTCTTCGCACCATTGGGGTGAACAGAGACGTAATAGCACGTCCACGCCGTCTGATGCGTGAACTCCGTCGTGCAAGGAAAACCCCGACGTAAAGCATCCACCTTATCGGGCCGCTAAAAAAAATTAATACATAAATCAGTAAATAAACAGACATGACATTAAACAAAGACAAATATGTTTCAAACTAGCATTGTATTCACCCAAGTCATTATTCTATCATAGTTCACAAAATGCTCAGATAACATTCCAGAAGTAAGCACTTATATAAATATTTAAAAGGACAACATATATAAACATTCCAGAAGAAGAATAGTTTACTTTCGCAACACGAAACTTAAAATCGCAACGCGAAAATAAACTATTCTTCTTCTGCAAATTGAAACTTGAATGGATTGCATTACTTCAACCAAAAGACAAAAACAAAACCAAAAACAAATACTAACAAAAACAGTTTAGCAGTATTGGCAGCAACCGAATGAATTACGAGTATTAAAAATCTTAAACTTACCTCGTTGCGTAGAGTATGAACCTCATTCTGCAACGATGCTACCATCTAACGTAGAGCGGCTACCTCACCGCGTAATGTAGACACCTCAACACGCCATGCACCATCGTCTTTGCGTAAAGTACCGACCTCCTCACGTAAGGTATTGACCTCATCACGTAACTCCCCTAACTCATCCCGTTGAGGTGGAGGTGGAGAACAGGGAGATAAAAGTCGTGGAATCTTTGCCGGTCGCCTATCTTGCGGTGATGGTGGAGAAGAGGCTCGATGATGTGACAGAATAGGTGATGGTTATCGTTGTGGAGGTGTATAGATGGGTCGATCAGATGATGGCTCTGGGTGAGGTGATAGCTCTGGGCGAGGTGATGGCTCCCGAAGTGGAGGCTGCTCATCAACCGTTCCATAAAAAAAACGCTTACTAGCTTGCCACCAATCAGTGGCAAGCTCAGCTTCCGTGGGTGTCAGCCTCTGTAGAGGAGTGTTGGCCTCCTAACAATATAAAAGCTCAAACAAAGTTAAACGTGTACTAGTAATAACTTGTTTATAAACATATGGTAGTATTTATGTTAACTTACATTATTTATTATCGTATACCGTAGTAAATCTTCCCATTGCAAGGTCCGTTTCCTCTTCCAGGAAATAGCCCTGGGAATATCATTTGAAGTTTTTATTGCATATGTCTTCATGGCAGGAAAGGCCTCAAATATCCAAATCTACAAACAATATAATAACAAACATTAGTAATTGTTAAATAATACTTATAATTTTGGAAACATCATATAAAAATTCTTACCTTAAAGGCCCAAATAAAGCCTGTCAAAGTGTATTTGGAACCATCGGCATGCAAACTTTTTCGATCATCCAAGGCAGACGATAACTTATTCCATGTAGCTTTCCATAAATACGAGCCCACGGAAACAGGTTCCACGCATTTAGGTCTTCTACCAATTTGATTAGATCATTTGGAATAGGTTGTCTGGCCTCTCTGCCTAAAAAGCTGGCATGCAAAAGAATTAGAAGGCATACTCGGACAACGTCGACGTCATCCATCCGAGTAAAACCGTCTTTATTATTCAACAATCTTGTCAGGTCTTCTACGTGTAGACTCGGCCTCTCCAGCTCAGGAAAAACCCGGGATAGCCATGATGGGCGGGTAATGTGTCTAGTGTACCGACCTACATCATCGGTCCGAAGCGTAGACGGTGATTAAGCAAAACTCCTCCCGCCCAAAACACGTATACGCCGGTGGAAAATCAAACCATATCTCTTCATCACGACGTTGTATAGTCTCTGGTAGATCGCTAGTCATGGTTTGAAGAAACAGGTGTGTCAACATCGCATCTCCACCGGGATGTTGTACTTTCATCCATGGCCCGAAGCATGTATCCTCAAACATTTTTCTTTGTGCAGGTGAAAGCTTCGACGCAATTGTTTTGGCCAGGCTGACTTTATTTCTCAAGGTCAATTGAGCCGAATAAAAGTTCTACAAAAACAATAAACATACTAAATTAGATATACCAAAAACTACACTGTGAAGATATACCAAAAACAATAATAAACATAAAGAGTAGTAGTTTATTCTTCAAACTTAAATTTGCAACACTGTGAATTTCGTATTTGTCTTTATTTTTTGGTTGAAGTAATGCAATTCATTCAAGTTTCAATTTGCAGAAGAAGAAAAGTTTCTGAAAATGAAAATCGCAACACGAAAATGACTATCGCAACGCGAATTTGACTATCGCAACGCGAAACTAAAATCGCGTTGCGATTTGCATTTCGCGTTGCGATTCTCGGTTGATTTAATAAGCAATCTAAGTGAAATGGTTAATCTATTATTGAAATTACCAGTAAAATTATCATCAATTTCAATATGAAAAACCTAATAATAATGCAAAAAATTCAAAAAGAAAATAATTAAAAAACTAACCCTCGTTGGTTGATTTGGTTGATTTTCCATTTCTGATGTGAGGGTGGCTTTGAGAGATGGAGATAGACGGATTTCGCCGGAGATGGGGACGGATTTCGTCGGAGATGGGTGAGAGAGTGAGAGATGGAGATGGGACTGAGTTGTGATTTTAGGTTTTAGGTATGAGTTGCGATTACGGGATATACTGGGACGGTTCAGTGTTCCAATATATAATATTCGTGTTTGGAATTTAAAAATAAAATACTTGGCCAGGATACTAATGGCGCTTTGAAAATCGCATTGCAATTATGTATTATCGCGTTGCGAAAGTCAGAATCGCGTTGCGAAAGTCAGTATCGCGTTGCGAAAGTAAGTATCTCGTTGCGATTTTGTATTATCGCATTGCGATAGTCAGTATCGCATTGCGATTCCCAATTCGCGTTGCGATTACTTATTCGCATTGCGAATTGGAAAAATTCGCAACGACACTGTAGACCATCGCAACGCGATTTTCAACTATCGCATTGCGAAAATGCAACGCGAATTTACGATAATGGAGATCGCGTTGCGAATTAGCGATCGCATTGCGATTTTGTTGGTCATTTTGGCAAATCCGGAAAAAGTTGGTTAAAATCGTATATTATATGGGATTTTTGGTCACTGAGGTTATTTTCTCTAAAATTAAAGCAAACTAAATTTAAAACGTAAGTATACTATAGGAACCGAGACTATAGTTTAGCGCCCCCCCTCTCTCTCTCTCTATATATATATATATATTATATTATAAGGCTTAATATACTTTTAAGTGCCTAAATTATATTTTAAATATACTTTTGGTGCCTAAAAATTATTTTATTAAAAATAATCGTCTAACATTTTTCCCGTTATATTTTTTTTATTTTTATGGCTTAATATTCTTTTAGGTGTCTAAACTATACCTTAAATTAACTTTTGATGCCTAAAGATTTGTTTGCTAAAAATAGTTGTCTAACGTTTCTAATATTACACTTTTAGATGCATAGAGCATAACGGCTATTAAATTTGACTGTTATCTGACACGTTTCATGCAAATAAAATTTTAAAAATATATTTAAAAAGAATATTAATATTATAGTTAAAAAAACCCAAAATTCCATTGTTGATCGACCACCGTCGGTATGAGACCGTCACTGTTGGCACCATCAAAACCATCTCACTACTACAACTAAAACATAGTCTCCCATCCCCCGTGAAACTCCGCCGTCATCGTGAAAAACTTGTGAAGGGTTGTTGAATTTCTAAGTTTTCCTTTGTTGTTTTCTGAAAATTCTGACGACTACAATTGGTCGTACGTTACACGATTGCCACCATTGAGTTTCCTGCCTTATTCCAAACAAAATCCCGCCGGTGGTGACCCTTCATCATCATCAGATGTGGGGGATGAGAGGGAAAGGGACGACGCGGGAGGTTTAATTCTTTTTTATTTTAAAAAATATATAATTTTATTATTAAAAAATAAAAAACAATAGCGACTTGAAAGTATAATAGAAAAACGTTAGGCACGAAAAAGTCAATTTAAGGTATTGTTTAAGTACCTAAAAGTATATATATTTTTTAATTTTTTTTAAAATTTTATATGCATGATATGTTTCAAATAACGGCTAAATTTAACGGTCGTTAAGGTCCAAGTACCTAAAAGTATATCGTTAGAAACATTAGGCATATATTTTTAATAAAAAATTCTTTAGGCACTAAAAATTAATTTGAGTTATAGTTTAGGCACCTAAAAGTGAATTAAGCCATATTATAATCTTAATTTGGTTAAAATTAGAACGAGAAACGCAGCAGAGAAGGGATTCAAGACAAAGCACGGTTGATTATGTAAGTGTTTTTCCATTACTTTGTAAGTCGATTTACTGTTAAGATTAAATTTTGTTAGAGCGTACTCAAATTCACTTTAGATTCTTCATTTTCTTTTGGTTTTCTGGGAAAGCGTATAGAATTCTCAATGGTTCTTCTCATGTTTGTTGATGAAGAATTCTTTTTAGATGTTTCAATTTGATTTGTTATGCAGAAAGAATAGTTTTTTTTTTTTTTATGAATGGATAGTTATCTGTTTTTTTTTCCTTTGCCAGTTATCTTCTCCAATCGTCCAAATTCAAACCCCAAACCCTAATTGCTTTTGATCCCAAATTGACCCTTTTATTGAATTCCAAGTTTATTGCCTAAAATGGAGGTGAAGCTATGGAACGACAAGCGCGAGAGGGAGATGTACGAAAATTTTGCAGAGCTATATGCGATTATCAAAGCAACAGAGAAACTCGAGAAAGCTTATGTGAGGGATATCGTTTCATCGTCTGAGTATGAAACCGAGTGCCAAAAGCTGATTGCTCATTTCAAAACCTTGGCTTTTACGCTCAAAGACACGGTCCCCAGCATCGAGCGGTTTGCGGATACGTATAAAATGGACTGCCCGGCCGCCATTAACCGTCTCGTGACCTCCGGGGTGCCTGCTACCGTCGAGCACCGAGCTGCAGCATCCGTGTCTGCTACTACCTCTGCTGCCATTGTGGCCGAATGCGTGCAGAATTTTATTACGGCCATGGACTCGTTGAAACTCAATATGGTGGCAGTTGATCAGGTGTACCCTTTGTTGTCCGACCTATCAGCATCTCTTAATAAACTCGGTATTTTGCCACCAGACTTCGAGGGTAAAACAAAGATGAGGGAATGGATCTCGCGGCTGTCGAAGATGGGGGCGGCTGATGAGTTAACCGAGCAGCAAGCTAGGCAGCTCCACTTTGACTTGGAATCTTCATACAATTCATTCATGGCTGCTTTGCCTAATGCTGGTACTTGAGGTGATCCGGTATTCCCTTCATTTAGCTCTGCAAACTGGTATATTTTAATTTGGTACTTGGAATCTTCATAAATTTAGGGAATCATTGGATTGTTAAGCTCACTATGCCTATTAATGTGGTGAATACGGAGAAAATGATGTATGTTGTCATTCTATGAGAATACATTTGTGCTTTGGTTTGGTTTTATTGTATGGGAATAATTTTGTATGTTTTCAATGCAGTTTCATGTAATTTTGCATTTAGAACATGTCTAATTATGGTTTTGCTCCCTCTACTATACTCAACTTAGGATTTAGTTCACGTACTTTAATTTGGTATTTCTTTACTTTGAGGCTTATTTCAAAAGTAGGTATATAGAGTATATCACATTTTTCATCTAGGTACCTAAAATATTATTTGGTTAATGTAGGTACCTAAAGTGTACCACCATTTTCACCTAGGTATCTAAAAAGTATGCCATTTTTTTCATCTAGGTATCAGAAGTTGACATGTGACATTGATTCAAAGTACTTTAGATGAAAAAGGCGGTGTAATTTAGGTTCTTACTTCAACCAAAAGATACTTTAGGTACTTAGATGAAAATTATGGTATACTTTAGATACTTATCTTTTAATTAGACATTACTTTTATTATTCAAATTGTTAACTGTACCCATTCTAGTAAAATGATATGTGGAATGAAACACTCTTTCCAACAAAAAATTGTCTATGTTAGTATTTTAATCGAAATAGTTGATGGTGCCATGCCATCAAGGATCAAATCATGCCAAATCAAGGCACTGGGGATTAAATCCCAAGTGGAGGGACCAGAACCATGATATGGACTTTAAAAGGATCTTCATCGAAGGACTAGAAACTCATGACTAATTACCAATTCCCCAAGCAAAAAATGTTACAAACAGAAGCAGAAAAAGAAAAAAAAGGTGAAATTCCATTGAGAACAAAAATATCTAAACGCCTACTGTATAAATCTCCTTACCAACTGATTGGTTCCTAACTTTGTTGGATTCCAACTTGATTGAAAAGAAGAATCTAGAATGCCCAAATGTTGTAGGAATGTTCTTCTAAGCTTGTGCTAATTTTTCCCTATAGGTACCATCTAAACTGAACTTAGTTGGGCATAAAATACATCAAGAGGCTTTCCTTTTATGGCCTTTACTTCTTTTAGGAGAGTTATAATTGTTGGCATGAGTGGTAGGAGGATGACTATAACGAGGATGATTGCAGCCATTATTGCCATACACATCCACTTCCTTGAGCTCTTTTGTTGTTCCCTCGCTTCCTCGAGTTGTTCAGTCCCTTCTTATGAAGGAACTCGCATGCGCGACGTTTCTCTCGATGTCGTTGTTGTTGACCTTGAGATTCCACGAGTGCAGCCATTCCAATATATCTGATGGAGCTCGATCAAGTTCTTCTCTATCTCCTTAACAGTATCGTGCCTTTCTTGAATCTCGGAATGGTGTCCATAATCTGACCCCTTCCTTGTTCTTGGATGGCCCTTTGAAGAAAGCTTTCGCTTTCACCGCTCAGATCAAGTTCTCGATCGTTTCCTCATCGGGTTTCTCCCGTGTCAACCGTTTCTTTATACTCTTGCATCCTCGCTCTTAGTGCTTGAAAATCATCCATCATATTCTTCATTTCTTTCCCAAGCCACTGACCACCGTGTTCGGGTTCTATCCGTATACGAACCGGGGCCATCGTCTTATTCTTCAGTTTCTTTCCCAAGCCACTGACCACCGATGTTCGGTTCTATCCGTATACGAACCGGGCCGCAACCCGGAGTGTTCCGACTAGCTGCATTTGATCGTTCCAACCCTTCAAGCTTCCCTTTGATGATTTTTACTCTTTTAAGCACTGTCGACATCAGTGTCCATCCGGGAACGAAGTTGTTTCATCGTCTTTGCGTTGTGGGCGGTTTTTCATTCTTTGTTGGCATCTTGTAATGCCTTGTACAACCTTTGACATCTTTCATGTCTTCCTTTAACCTCTCGACTTTCTTCGAAGAATTTTTCGAGCTCTACACTCAGTCGCAGCTTCCTTCCATCCTGGTAAGCCTGTTCTGTGTATTTCTGAACGAACCGAGATTAAGTCATTCATCTTGCCACAAAAACTACTTCACAATTTACTCTGTTTTCTTGATTTTTATTTTGTGTTAATGTTTTTGCTGAAATTTGCACTAAATCGTTGATGGAGCTACGCATGAACGATCAAAATGTTTGAAGTTTGTAATTGAAATGGTGTTTTCATGAGAATGGACTTGTGTTTTCCATCTCTCTTTCCCTTCATTAACTGCTGCAATTGGCAATGGAGGGAGAGGTGCTGACAAAAGGGAATATTTTCACCAATGAAAGTATCAAGGGACCTAAAGTCATTCCCTTATATTTGGTAAGGTAGTGAAGGTGATTAGAGTAGACCTGTAAACGAACCGAACGCACACGAACGGAGGTATGTTCATGTTCGTCATTTAATAAATAAACGAACACGAAACATAAATGAACAAATTTTTTTTGTTCATATTCGTTCATTAAGGAATATAGCTTGTTTATGTTAGTTCATTTAATAAATAAACGAACATAAACATTAGAGACTCTACCTTCCATTGTTCTTTCATGAAAAATAGTCGACAATGCAAATCAATCAAAACTACAGTGATAAATAGCGTAAGAGCTGATTAGCAGTGATGAAATGTTTGAAGATATTAGATATTTCGATCGATCTTTTAAAGATATTAAATGATCCAGGACTTTAATTTAACGCTATAACATTTATCTTAGTGGTCATGATTACATATGAACATCATTTTCCACTACGTTATTCTAATAAATTCGCCGACTAAAAGTTTTTGTGACATCAATGTCGGACTTTAGTGAGATTTGTTATAATGGTCTTTTCCTTGGCAGAGTAGAAAATTAACAGTATGAAGATTCGAACGGTACAAATTGGACTACAAGGCAATAACATATCCGAAATCCCTCTGATGCTACATCGTAATTGATATTATTGCTAAACCACATTCAATTTTAACGTAACTAAAGTCTACTCCACAACTAAAGGTCAACACAAGAACTATGAAAACAAAAGTTCATTGTCAAAGTGTATTTTCTTATTAATGGGTTCTTCCTGGAAAACTCATTACTTCCGCTATTATACTCTTATTCAGAAATTGCATAGAAACCTTTGTTTTGTTTTCTGGCAAATTATATATATTTTTCTCTTTATTGATGCTCATATACTTCTAATTGTTACTTTTATCTTCCCATCTATTTCTAGAAATAAGTATGATATTTTCTTGAGTTTTAGATGTGAAGATACCCACAATAACTTTACATATCAACTATTAAACCAAATAAAACAGAGAAAGAGATGAAAACAGACATGTAAAACTTCAGATTGCACTATAATATAACTTGTTTTGAGGCTTTCACCGATCGTCTCCACTCTCCAGTGAACTAGGGTCAAGGAAAAAAAAGGGGAAATGAATATAAGTGTGAGGTTATCAAAATATTAGATTAATTAATATTAGATTTAATCTCCAAATAAAATTGGGTTAATTATAGAATTGGTCATCAGAATATCAGATTAATTAAAGTTTATTAAAAAATAATTTATCTAGCATAATTTATTATTAACATTTAAAATTTGAATTTAAAATTTTAATCTTCTAGTCATTTTAAATTATAGATAACTTCACGATTAGGGTTCAAACCAATATCAGATTCACATTAAAAAAAAAACTAAAAATGTTGATTTTTTATGTTAAAATGAAATTCAAGTTCGACTTAAAATTTTACATCTTTGTTCAGTTAAGTCAAACTCATACGTGGAATTTAGCAGCATTGCGAAAAATTTTGAATAATGTAAAAATCAACAGAATTACAACTTCTATTTGACCGACTGAAAACTATCCCCAATGTGTGGCAGGTGAGCTCCTAAAATGTACCACATTAGCTTCAACCTCCTCTCAACCATTGTTTATGTACAGCATATGTCTTAATAGAGAAAACTGTTGGAGGGTCTGCGTCGATGTTTCGATCACTGGTTCCAAGATCGACGCTGCTGCTGGTTTTTCCTCCTTCGGTGCTGCCACCATGTTGTGCCCGAGTAACTTCTATGTCACCGTTGCCAATACTTTGCTGCCTAAGGTGTTTGTCAGTAGCATCTTGAAGCAATCTCATCATGTTGCCGGAATCTGAACCGGGAGACAGCTCTTCTTCTCGCTCCGGCTGGATATTCAAGTCGATTTGGCCTTTAAAAGGATAAAGTGTGGATTTTACTCCGTCGGAATCATCTCCTACACCCTCACTGACGACCTTTTTCTGGTTTGGACTGCTATTTCCTGCACTAGTGCAAGGGAGGGGGTTATCGTCTAGTACTTTATCCGGCAATGAAGGTTGCTGCTTCTTGGGCGTAGTGTCTGCTGCTTCTTTTTGGAACTGTTTTTCTCACGTCGCAGCATGAGGGTGCGGAAGTCTTCACTGTCTGGCAGACGTTACACGTACATGTCTGCTTGTGTTTGGGGCCCTTCCCACTAGGGGGCTGAATGCACACAATACATGAGCAGCCGGGTCTATGCCGTGGGTGCTTCGTCGTGGCCTGAGACGAAGTGGGTAGAACCCCGTCTTCTCCCAAGATAGCTAGGTTGGCAAGAGTGTCCAGACCCTCTAAAGCATCTAGGTTCTCTGGTTCCCGTTTAGCGGATTTCATTTTCTTAGAAGCAGCTGTCATTCACGATCATAAAACGGAATTAGATTCGTAATAGGAAATGAACGGCTAAGAAACACAGCATTTTACAGAAAAATCATCATCGTGAAATCAAACTTTGTTTCCTTCAAGAAACAAATACCTCGATTACAGTTTGGTACCAGGTTTTCCAGCTCTTCTGCTGTCAGTTCTTGAGCAGACGAACAAAAACATCTGCCAGCATGGAAGAAATGGGGGGAAAAAGTGATCATACAATGCCCGTACGAAAACCATTGTAGCAAAAGACAGCAGTCAAAGTAGAGAGAAAAATTTTCTCCAATGAGTGGTTACCTTTCTGGATCCCATGAGTTACTGGAAACAGGTAAACTTGGAAGGAAAGAACATCGAAAGGCAATCTACGCCACTTGAAACAATCTTCGCACTGAGCCCACTGGATTTTCCCTGACACAAAACAGATATTTGATCTTGTGGTTTAAGACAACTTGCTGCCAATAAAACTAGCTGACAGTTTGGACTTTATTTCCATTATAGACTATAAGTAC